CAAAGATAATTGCTGAAATCATCTGACCACAAATTGAGGCAAATTCAAGAAACCAAAGTGGAATAAATGAAATTACCTGAAATGAACTAAAATTCGGAAGTCTAGAACCAGGTGTCACTGTTTAATGATATGGGGTAGGCCATTTAGAACTGAAATGAGAAGAAATTTCTTAGCACAGACAGTGGTGAGCCTGTGCCACAGAAAGCAGTTGAGAGAAAAATATTCAATGTTTTCAAGGATCAGTTAGCCATAATTCTTAGGGTTAAAGGGATCAAAGAGTATGGGGAGAAAGCAGGAACAGGGGGTACAGAGTTGGATGATTAGCCATGATCTTACTGAACGGCAGAGGGACAATAGGCCAAATGGCCTACACCTGCTCCTATTTTCCATGTTCTATCAAAAAAATTCTCATATACTAAACTCTCCTATTTAAAGCAATAGATCAGGTTAACTTTTCTAAACCGTTTTAATGTCTCTTTTCCAGGACAAAATAGAAAGAGAGGAAATGGAGTAAGAACATATGAAATTAGAACAGGTATAGGCCAGTTGGACCTTCAAACCTTCTCCATCATTGTCTAAGATCACAGTTGGTCAGATTTCCACATAATCCAACTACCTCCAATAATCTTTCAACTCTTATCAACAATATATCTATCTCTACCTAAAACAGATTCACAAACTATGTTTCTACAGTCTTTACAAGAAATGTTCCCAAGACACTAAACTCAAAAAACAAAATTTCCTCATCTGTGTCCCAAATGGATGACCCCACAGAGTTAAACAGCAAACCCTAGTTCTGAATTCTCTCATGTCTATCTGTTCCACATCAACCCTATCAAGATCTCTCAGGATCTTCTAAGTTTCAATCATGTAATCTCTTACTCTTAAATGTCAATAGACACAAGCCTTGCCTGTCCAGCTGTCATAAGATAATTTGCCAATTCTGGGTCTTTTAAACCTTCTCTGAATTGCTTCCAATATAGATATTATTGCATATAAGTCTTTCCTTAAATGAGGACACAAATACTTCACCATTAGTCTCACCAGTGCACTGTACTGCTGAAGCATTACCTCCCTACTTTTACATTCAATTCCCTTGACAATAATTGATAATATTCTATTAGTTTTCTTTATTATGTGTTGTACCTGTATTCTAATCTTTTGTTATGCATGCACTAGGACAGTGAGATCCCTCTGATTTTCCAGAGCTCTGCAACCTCTCACCAGTTATATAATGCTTTATTCTTACTCTTACTTCAAAAATGGTCAATTTCACATTTTTCTATGTTATGCTCCAGCTCTGCCCACTCCAGATAGAGAACTCTTAAATCACAGCATGAGTAGAATAAGATTTAAAAATTTGCAGGACAACATTATCTGCATTTATTTCCCTGACAAAATACTACATACACTCCACAAAAGATGATGTAAAATAAAACAGAGGAATCTAATGTTTAATGGTCACAATGGCTAAGCAATGCACAGTAATCATTTAAACTAACAGGCTAATAAAATTATACAGTCAGAATAGTAAAATATACCACAAAACAGGTAATAAAACGTTCTGGTGTTTAGTTGGACCATATCTTCAACATTGAAGGCTGGAAAATGAATCTCCACAACTGTGGATATGAGTTGTGAGGAGACGCAAGACACTTGGGTTTTTCAGTGTGGAAACAGGGCACTGGAAAGATGATCTATCTAGATTAAGGGTAAAATGCTACTTCAAAATAAACTGTGGTCGCAGAATTAGGAAACAGGTTCATTTCAGAAGAGTGTAATTTTTGAACTTAAAATCTTTCACTTCACTACAAATTAACAACATGGACAATAAACTTTCAAATACAGTGGTGGACATTAGTGAGCCAGTTGGGTTTATCCCTTTTTAGCATTTTACCCTTAATCCCAAATGTTATCCCTTTCTAGCTGGGGGAAAACAGAAATTAATTGGGGAAATGGTGTCATAGTGATGTCAATGTGTCAGTAATCCAGAGATCCAGGCTACTTCCTTGAGGACACGGGTGTAAATCCCTCCACAACAGCTGGTGGAATTAAAAATTTAAGTATGGAATTGAAAGTTACAGTCACTGTGACAACTAGCACAACTGTCATAAAAAACTGGTTCAGAGAGGTCGTTCAAGGAAGGAAATCTGTCATCCTCACTCAGCCTGGCCCACACAGGACTCTAAGCTCTCAGCAATTTTGTTGACTCTAAACTGCCACTGCAATGGACTTGCAAGCCACTTAATTCAAGGGTAACCTATAGATCTGTTTCCAAAGAATGGATCCTTACATATAAATACATGACACCTCCTAATTTGTGTAACAAGCTTAACCATTCCCTTAAATTGAAGTTTAGTGTAACTATTACCACATGCAGGATTGTTCAACAAGCGCTGCCCAATGGCAGAATCATATCTAACAGAATATGACTGTGGGCAACTGCAGTTATTGTTTACTCAACACTGACCACAAATACAGGGCCAGTGTGTTTGTGCCAATGTTCTTGATAAAGGTAGTATGAAACCAAGGAAATTTAAAAAGCCTGATGCCCCAACATTTTGTCCTCAAACATAAACTGTAGACCTTTTCAAACAAAATGATTTCAACTAAAAGGACACAGTAACAAAATCAAGATATAGCAGGTGGCACATCCCATGGTGTCACATACTAAATGGCAATTGCATAGTTTCATTCAATTGGTGCAAGTCTTATTTTGTTAGCATTAATTGAAAAGGCATTATTTTTAAGAGAGGAAGTTGATGACAGGCAACTTCTCATCCTACAATTCGTTGCATAATTGTTGATATCTTAGGAGACCATTCACAAGAAATAGGTTGTATAGCCTCTCAGCATTCTCATTATGTATACCCTTAAGCACTCTCATTCATTCTTTAAGCTTGTGGCTGTTCTTCTAACTTACCTCTACTTTCCAACCAAATCCCCATATTCCCCAATTTTCCATGCCCAAAAAAGTCTATTGATATCACTCTTGAATGTTTTCAACATTACCACATCCATCTGGAGTACAAAACTCCAAGGAATTACAATCCTGAGTGAAGGAACATCTTGAACCCTAAACGGCCATTCCATTATCTTCAAAACACGAACCCCAGTTCTAAACTCTGCAGCCAAGGGAAGATCCTCTTATCAAAAACTGAAAGAACAGCGAATGCTGTAAATCAGGAACAAAAACAGAAGTTGCTGGAAAAGTCAGCAGG